TTAGTTGTATTTTCCAAGACTAGCAGATAAGTTCTAGAACTTAAATGTAGTAGAGGTATCCTGAGTGCAAGGGTATTCAATTTTTCTTACCACCTGTGTAGTAGTGACCATGGTACACATTATAGAAATAAAGTTACATGAAGAGCATCATTGTAAAACCATCTAAATTTGTTTAAATGTTAGACTCTTTCATTTTAAAGTCATCAAGTTTTCTAGATGAACATTTACCTTTGCTATGTATATTAAGGAAAGATTTAAAGGAATTGTTTTGTTTGATTGGAGCAGTTACTGTCTGGTGGTAGCTATTAAAATCCTGACTAAGTACATACTACCAAAAAATTGTCTGTTTTAATGTGGTCTGTGCTTTGAGCTGACCATTGTTTCTTCCAAAGTTTTTTTCTTTCTTTCCTGCAGAATCATAGATACCTGATAAATTTGTTGGGGGTTGATGTGGTTGGGGAGTAATCATTAAATGAATAAGTAGAAATCCGAAGGTTGTATTTGGACTGAATGAGGTTGATAGATCAGTGAGGAATCTTAATTAGTCTCAGTGATTCTTGCTTATAGGGTGCATTCAGACAGTTATACAGTTATAGGCAGATTTCTGAGTTCATAATAAATTCTGTCATCTTCTGATACCCATTCCTGTAGTCATTTGAATGGCCATTTGTCAGGGGAAATAAAATATGGGAGAGTGTACATCAGCCACCCTTCTAGGCCTGTACCTTAGTCCAGAAGAGGAACAACATAGCACCATCTTCACTTCTAGTGTTCTAGTTGTCATAGACAGCATAAAGATATAATAATTTGCTTAAAAGTATTGATGAACTGGTTATGAAATCCTCTCTCAACAGGCGGAATCTGATAAGCAGATGGGAAATTGGAGAACCTTATCCAAATAATTCTGGCTTTTCTTCAGTGCTAGATAGTCTATTCAGTATGGGCATGGAGACTATTGCTGTAGCATCTAGATACCCTGTATTATTTCCATTCTTTAGATTAAGTACCAGGCCAAGAAAGAGGTCTATAAAAAGAAAATGAATAAAAATGAAGACTCAGAGTAATTTTGCTTTTTGTTTTTGTCTGAGTAATTCCAAATGTTAATGTGCATATTTAGTTTTAGGCTACTGACTTGACATCTAAGAATAGATAGCTCTTTAAAGAAAAATGGGCTTACTGTTGCAGAGGAGAGCTCTCCTGCATTGTAGTGATCATAAATGGTAGGTGGTTTGCAGTTCTATTACTACCTGTTCGTGTATGTACTGTAAAATAATCTGTGTCGTGTGGACTGTATTTAAGCAATGATTGACTAAGATTGTAATTTCAGTAAATCTAAACGATCTCGTCTAATTAAATTCATGTGCTTCAAAAAAAAAAAAAAGAAAGAAAGAAAGAAAGAAATGCAAGAGGTTTACCAGCGGGTAATGCCTATGAAAGATAAGGCGGTGGAAGTAAAATTGGGCAGGGAAAGCCTTCAGAGGCAGCTTTGTTTTTCCTTCACTCTTGATGTTCCGAGTCGTCTTCTACTAGTATAATTTCCCTTGTATCGGGAAAACTTTTAGCGATTCTTTTAGAGCAGGTCTTCTGCCAACAAATTCAGCTTTCTTTCATCTGGGAATGTCTTTATTTCACCTTCGTTCCTGAAGGATATTTTCACTTGGTACAAAATTTGGGGATGACAGTTCTTTCCTTTTAGTACTTGAAAAGTGTGCCACTTTCTTCTGGTCTCCATGGTTTCTATTGAGAAATCTGTAGTCATTTGAATCATAGTGTTCCCCTATAAGTAGTGCATCACTTTTCTTGATAACTATTTCAAGATTTTTTCTTTGTCTTCAGTTTTTAACAGTTTGACTATGAAGTGTCTAAGTGTGGATTTCTTTGGATGTATCCTTTTAGGAGTCTGCTGAGCTTCTTGAATCTCTAGATTTATGTCTTTTGCCAGGTTTGGGAAATATTACAAACATTTTTTTCTACACTGTACTCTTCTGTTGTCCTAGCACTCCATTGACATGACTGTTAGATCTTTTGTTATTGTCATGCAGGGCCCTGAGGCTCTGTTCGTTTTTTTTCCATCTTTGGTTATTCAGATTAGATAATTTCTATTGATCTTCACTGACTTTTGCTCTGTCACCTCTGTTCTGCTGTTGAGTCCATGCAACAAGTTTTTAATTTTGATTTTACTGTGTCTTGTTTC